CTGGGGTCAGGAGTTTGAGCCCCACATTAAGTACAGATTACTCAAAAACAAAGATCTTAAAAAAAATAAAATTCAAATGAACCTGCTTTCAGTACCTGTGAAATACAAGACGCTATGGAAGATAAACTAATGAGCTTCCTCATCATTTATACATCTCACAGCTCCTTCGTGGCCCAACCTAAGTCCCAGAAACTATCAAGTGACATACTCTTGCACTGGAGCCCAGAAAGCGGTCCTGCCAAAAACCACCAGTACGCTTTTGTTTTTTGCAAAAAAAAAATTTAAAAAAAAATTTTTTTTAAGATTAAGAGATGCATGCTGTATCAGCTGAGTTGACCAGGTGCCCTACGTTCACTTAAGTCTCAAAGCTTACTTCCGATGTAGACATCTGGTTTCATTTATTACTTAGTTGGAATGCCCTCCCTCCCAAATCAAAGCAACAACTGACCATCACTTTTCCTTTTGTAGATGTACTGTTCCATCTGGAAGTCAAGGTTGGTGCCACCTAAGTGGGTTCCTGCGGCAAGAAATTTGAGGACATCCTCCTCCTTCATTTGCAGGACATCAAGGGCTCCGGACATTGTGAAAGTTTCCCTTTAAGTTACGACGGGAACCTGGAAAACAATGGTTAACCATCCAGCTATTTTCATTTCATTTCAGTGGGTTATGGGACCAGGTGCATTCTAACTACCCTGGCGAGCCAAGCAACCTATTTGAACACAGCCCAAGGACCACACCTTTTACAGTAGTGTAATGGAAAAAGACCCAACAGAACAGACCAATCCCACACATTACACAATTGCGGCACATCTTGAGTGCGTGGAGATGGGAAAAACACCCAAATAATTAAGCAAAATGAAAACGGTGATTTGCCACTTAACATTCCAGGGGGCAACCGGGAGTCGAGTTACCGATGAGCAAAAATAACCAGATGCGAACAAGTTTATTTTCAAGCGGATTGAAGGCAGGGCGCTTCTCAATTATTTCTCTCTACGGTCACAACTGATTTTCTGCAAACCCTTGCCAGGTATCTTAACGCGAACGGGATACACCAAGCAGCCCAAATAGCTGTCGTAAACCGGGACCGGGGCCTGAGCTCACGGCCGGCCGAACGCCGGGGTCCGAAGCAACTGCAGCGCGGTACGCTGATCCTGTTTGCTGCGCCACGGCCGCCCAGCCGCAGCCCGGCCCGCACCCTCACCCGGTGCCCTGGCTCCAGCACGACCTCCGCGCGCTCCGGGGACACTGTGGGAACCCGCGGGCCCGAGTTCGGCCACGTGCGGGCGGCTGGGCGCGGAGCCGGAAATAGACCCGCTTTGCCTGCTGGCTCCCATCCCCAGCCCTCGCACCCCTCACTCCAGCGGAAGGCTATTTAAGTCCTTTGGGACTATTTGGGGGACACCGGGAACCCTACAGGGGACTCACGCAAAACAACGCCGTATGGACCCCTCTCTGGGTAGCGCGGAAAAAGGCCGGCGGCCGGAAGTGACGTCTTTATATACTCCGCTGCCAGCCAATGACAGCGAAAGCTAAGCGGAAGGGTGAATGGGCTGCCTAATCCAGCGGAGCCTTTTGCGACGTTAGTGCTTTCCGGCGCCGCGAAGGAGTTCCTCGGCACGCGGCCACCTCCGCTGTAATTCATCAGGGACCTGCAGTTGGAGGCCGAATCGGCTTTCTGGTCCCTGTCGTAAGTTGAAGTGTCTTTACGTAGGGAGCCATGTTGAGCACAGCGTGACAAAGTATTCGTTCAACAAAAGCCGGAGAAATTATTTTCATTTCTTGGAGAGCAATTTATCAGTACGTAATTCAGATTTTGAAAGTTCGCTTACAGGAAATTTTCCTGAAAAACTTAAAAGGAGAACACTACAGATGGCAGGTTTCTTTTTCTAGAGGAAAAGGAATCAATGTCGATAGGTTAGTAATTAAAAATTCATTCCGTTCATATAGTACTATGCAGCCACTAAAGACCTGCAGGGTGGGGGAGATTATTTTAAAAAATTGAAGCCAGTATTAACTAAACTTCAATAATAAAAAGAATTGAAGCCCTGCACATTAAAAGATGATGGTAAAGAGACGGCCAAGTTACTAACTTATGTATTGGGTTTCCATCTTTGCTGCACTTGCGAATCACGTGGAGAGCTTTTAAACATGTGCCCGGTGGCGCAGTCGGTTAAGCGTCGGACTTCACCCAGGTCACGATCTCGCGGTCCGTGAGTTCGAGCCCCGCGTCAGGCTCTGGGCTGATGGCTCGGAGCCTGGAGCCTGTTTCCGATTCTGTGTCTCCCTCTCTCTCTGCCCCTTCCCCGTTCATGCTCTGTCTCTCTCTGTCCCAAAAATAAATAAACGTTGAAAAAAAAAAATATTAAACATGTGCCCAACCCAGATTTTAAAAATCTGATATATATATATTATATATATATAATATATATGTATTTTATATATACATTATATATATTATATATATATATTTATTTTATTTTTTTTTTTTAAGAGTGCATGCTCGGGTGAGGGGGAAGGAGGGGAAAGGGGGAGAAGCAGAGGGGGACAGAGAATCAGAGGCAGAGGGCCTGAGCTGGGGTTCGAACTCATCAGCAGTGACCTGAACTGATGTCAGAGGTTTAACTGGCTAAGCTTCCCAGGCACTCCAAAAATCTGATTTTTTAAAGTGAAGTATTGCCATAAAACATATTTGTATATATTGTGAAATGATCACCACAATGAATCTAGTTAAAATCTGTCACCATCCAGTTACAAAAAGTGTGTTTTTCTTGTGATGAGAACTTTTACCCTCTTAGCAACAGTGAAATACACAATATGGTATTATTAACTATATTACATTACCAGGACTTAAAAAAATCTGATTCTCATAAGTACCTCCCTAGGTAATTTTAATGTGTAGCCAGGCTAAGAACCACTAATATACTAGTAGAGAAACTGGGTGCGGTTTTTTTTCGTCTCATTTTTAGCATTTTTGAAATTTTCTGAGGAACACAGGTTAAAAAATTAAAAAAAACAAAACCCCATTGCAGCTGATAGAGAAGGAATGAAAACTTCAGAATGGCTTTAAGCATCCTTAGAAACTGGTGAAAATATCTGGAGACATTTTGGCTCCCAAAGAAAAAATAGCTATGTGGAAAATAGAACAGGTGGCTTTGGGGGCAGTTTTCTGTCACTGTATTGCATGACTTCTCTGGAGGGTCTTCCCCAGCCACCTCAACAGCTCCCTCCCATATGCACGCTGGAGTCCCAGGACTACTTCCTTCGTCGCAAGAAGGACATTGTACTGGGGCGCCTGGGTGGCTTAGTCATTTGGGTGACCAGCTTTGGCCCAGGTCATGATCTCACAGTTCATGAGCTCGAGCCCCGTGTCAGGCTCTGTGCTGACAGCTCAGAGCCTGGAGCCTGCTTCAGATTTGGCGTCTCCACCTTTCTCTGCCCTTCCCATGCTCATGCTCCGTCTCTCTCTGTCTCTCAATAATAAATAAAACGTTTAAAAAAAAAAAAAAGACATTGTACTGTAATTATGTTTGGGTGTTTGTCCACAAAATAGTATTTTTCTCACAAAACAACTTTGCTCTTGAGAACCAATCCGCGTAAGGAAAATCCTTGGTGAGGAAATGAAATCAACAAAAGTCCAAAGATGAAGAAGGTACTATAGTAAACCACGGTGGGGAGCCCATGGCCCAAGAGGCACTTGTCAAAGAAAATCTGTAGCGAGCAGCTAAGTGTCCTCCCCACCTTCCAGGGTCCCCGGTCGTCTGCACAAGTTTCTGCAACATTTTTTATCCGTGCCTGTTTTTTTTTTTAATGTTTTTTTTTTTTTGAGACAGAGAGAGAGAGAGTCGGGGAGGGAGACACAATCCAGAGCAGGCTCCAGGCTCTGAGCTGTTAGCACAGAGCCCTTTTCGGGGCTCAAACTCAAGAGCCATGTGATCATGACCTGAGCCGAAGTTGGATGCTTAACCAACTGAGCCACTCAGGCGCCCCCTCCCCTCCCCCTGTGCCCTTTTTAAATAAAACTCTCGGAATTTCCTTTGGCGAACTTTTGAGCTTGGGCATTCATATTTAAAAAGAGAAAAACTCAGCTTAAGTTTTTTTCCAAATGCAAAATTGTGGTAGGGACTGTAGTTTTGGGGGGATACACTTCATGTGTCATTGGATGGCTAGAGGAGACCCTGTTCTGGTTTACAGCCGAGAGAATACGGAGGACACCAAGTTGGCCCCAGGCTTCAAGTTCATCTTGGGCACCTTCCCACCTCCCTCTCTGACCTGACTTCCTCCTTGCTCCTCCTTGACCTGTTCGTCTGGTGTGCAGCCATGCTCCAGTCCTCTCCAGGAGTCTTACCTGCCGTGGCCTGAGCAATGTTCCAAAATAACTGTTCCCTCCTTTGCCCCAAAGCTCATTCATTCCCTTAGTTAACTGGCATGGCCCTGTTTGTTGAAAGGATTCTGTCTTATAACTTTTCTCTCTCACTTGGCCCTTTTGTCTTGCATTTTCATGCACTGGAATGTATTTCATGCACTGCTGCATTGCTCACTGGGACTCTGAACTAGTCACTTAACCTCCCTCAGGAAACGAGCTATTGCCTGTGTTAGCTGCTGCCATCCCCCTGAAATGAGTCCCTGGGCCTGGAGTCCCAGGATGGCACAGGATGCAAAATGAACAGAGAAGGCTCACCTGATGTTCATATTTTATGAACCAAGGTGACATTTTAATGGTCTATAAAAAAAAAAAAAAAAAAAGCAAAGTCACATATCAAACATCAAAACTCAAAAGTTTTCAAAATTAAATCACATGTATATAGACTTGAAAAATCACATTAACTAAAAAGGACACAATTGTTCCTGAAATGGGGACCGGCCTGGAGATTCCGGGCTGCTTCAGTCATCGTGACCCTCAGTCTTCAGAGCATTTTCACCGAACACCTGTATCCTCATACAGGCCCAATGGTCTCACACAACTGCCAGCTTGAACCTCTAGGATCAGGAATAGCCACACCTGCAGCATATTCATGGACAGTTTATTAAGAGGCCAAAGTTCAGGGAAGTCCAGTGACTGGATGAATTCTCAGCCGAGCCAAGTCTCCTTTTATGATGTGGAAACCAGGGTTTAGTATAGTCCAAAGTTACACGAAAAGTGAGAACACAATCACAATGAAAGCTCATCTTCGGCCCGGAGTTTGTGAACTCTAAGTAAACGCTAGTCTACATACAGTGTTCCTTCTGGTGGGATGGGACCCAAGCCGCACCCTAAAGAATGTGTGGTGTAGAGAAAGCACACAGTGAGAACAAAGGACGCTTCAGGCAGAAGGGAGAGAATGAACCATAGTTCATTGTTCAATGAACATAGCCAAGAGCATTCATTCAACATTCATTAACCCACAAGCCTGATTCTGTGAGAGGGGATGCCTGAGGGGAGGACAAATCATCCTGTGTGATCAAGACCCAGGACAAACGGGCAGTACAGGCCTGACAGAGAAGGACTTGGAATATTCTCCTAGGGCAATCTGAGTATATTCCGCAGGCAGTGGGGAGTCAGAGGATTATTCACAATGGGATGGGTTTTGTAAAGAGATTTAGGGGAAATGTAGGTTGACTTCCAATTTAGGGAGTTAAAGACGCCACAGGACAACCAGCCAGGTGGGGATGGCCGGAAGGTGGCCAGATGCACAGAGGTAATGAGGCGAGGTCTGGCGAATGGACAAAACAATTAAAAGACAGAGACTAGTCATTCACCAAACATTCATCACATCGCTTCTCTCTGTCTTAAGGCACCGATGGAAGCTGGGATACAGCAATGAATGAGACACACAGCCTCTGCCTCTTGGAGCTTATGACTGAACTGGAGAGAGATTCGTGGCCACTGCACAGTCCTTTAAGTACAGCGGTGCTAAATGCTGCAGAAGAAAAGCACTCGGTCTGTGAGCACTCGGGAAGAGCTGACCTGGCACGAGGCCTTGGCGAAAAACTTTCCCGTGCAAAGGATGCTTGACCCAAATCCGGAGGGGCGGAAAGGACTGGAGTGGAACAGAGCATCCCAGGCAGAGAAAACAGCATTCAGAGGTACCGCGCAGCAAGGGAGAAGCTGGGGAATGGGTGGCGGGTGGAAACACGAGGCGTCAAGGGCAACAAAGTACAAACGAAGACACCCGGGTCAGACTCGAGAATGGCTTATGGAGTCAAAAAGGAGACGAGTCTGGCTGCAGACAACAACATGGGGGAAATCGGGCGAGCCAGGACAGGACTACACAGAGACAGCTCTTGAAGACTAAGCCAGGAAAACGAGGATGAACGCCAGCACCAAAGTAGGAGAGGGTGGAGTGTCATCAGTAAGGGAAGCACATTCTAAAAATGGTCCACAAATCGAGCTGGGCTTCCCTGTTTTGGTAACAGCTCAGGAAAGCCCATTTTCAAAAACAGTGATCTTTTCAAAGAAGTCAAATTATTTACAAGCGCCAACTATACGTGGCCCAATCTTGGAAAAATACACATATATGCAAAACAAACTGGAGAAGTACAACTGGTGACGGAAATAACCCCAAAGGATAACCATTCGAACCGCGCTACAGACGCTCTCCGTTCTTTACACCGTCAGTTATAAAGCAGCCCTTAGCTTTTCATCCTCCCGACGTCAAAAGTACACAGATTTAGTTAAAGTCGATTCCATGACAAGTGACACTTTTATGGGTTCCTCGTGTAGATGAAACTCAGTGTGCACCACTCTGTTATTCACCTGGAAGATTAAAGTACAGACTGTTCAAAAGCCCTGAGCGAAAGCCTTTTAGTCAACCCTACGGAGGGAAATGGCAGAATTCTATGCATTTCGGAAAGCAATATGCAAATGGCGGTGGAAGGAGCATGGCCCCCCCAAGTGCCTGGAATGCAGCTCTCTGGACTCCAGGGTCCACAGACCTGGGTTTGGTCTCAACTTGCCCCTGGGGATTAGTAGGCAAGAGAACCTGCCGTAAAATGAAAGGGTTGCGTTATGTTATGTCCAAAGCACCCCGTGGCCCTATAATCCCAGGGTTGGTTGTGAGCACATCAGCCACCCTTCCATGTCACTGGGCCGTGAGGGCCTTTAATGCAAAGGCCCCATCATGCTCATTTATGGATTTTTTTTTTCTTTGCCAGTGTTTACTCAGCAAGCACTTTAAAAATAAAGGGTGTTCAGTAAAGGCTTAATGAACGTCAGTCAGCCAACCAATTTTTCAACTAGCCTTAGCTACGATGGATTTCCATTTACAGTTGGCCAAATCTGTCTTTATTATAACATTGCTGAGAAGCTGACAAGAAACTGTTTTCTCAGAGAAATTGAGCAATAGAAGATACTCGGGCATATGGTTGGAATGGGTGTCAAAATTGTCTGTGGTCCCTCCCTTTCACGTCCCACCCCCACCCAACTCTGACCTCAAATGAGGTGAGAAGGAGTTTGAAGGGCTGTTAAGCATCATATGTAAATTACTAAAATTAAATCTTTCTATTTTAAAGAAACAAAAATAGTTACCATACCTTGGGCAGGTGTGGAGTAATTCATATGTAATTGTGATTAGGGCATGAACTCTAGAAGCACTCTGCCCAGGCTAGGGTGCCAGCTCGGCCACCGACTCGCCCCCATCTGTCACAGGGGATGTGAATCCCAGGAGGTCCCTGAGGGGTGTTGGAAAACTTAACTGGATTCGTATCTGGGAAGCGCAGAGAATGGTAACTGGCATGGAGTGGGCCACGCAATCGATGTTAGCCTCGCTGTTACTGGGCGCTTCTCTGATCTCTTCTCATTAGCTCTCTGTGGGCGTAAACCTCTTCAATCCTGATATGATAAACTACAATAATTGGGCCATTCTCCAAACTAGGGTTCGTATGCAAATCCACCGCCATTACCGAGCACGTGTTCATTCAGTGAATGTTTACTATGGGCTACAAGCTGGGGAGACAAATGTGAGCTGGAGTCTGTCCTTAGAGATGTCCTAAGGCTCTGCCCTCTCTAGGGGTGCTGAGTCGGGCCAAAGCTGGCTGCCATGGTGGGCTACACAGCAGGCAGGGTCTTTAAAGCTCACCTAATATCCAATGCCCTTCTATTAGCAAGGAACGGAAGGTGTCATTCTGTTTCCCTTGGCAGGTGGCTCAACCATGTTTTCTGAATGCTACGGTCATTGAAAGTCATGATCGGCCCATCACTTCCAAGCAACTTTTCAGTATCTCTCCTATTTTCATGGGTAAAGCCAACCTCATGAAAATGCTCCGATCAAGTACATGAATGAAGCACGTGTTCACTTAGAATCTACTTACTTTGGTGAAAAAGTCAGCGATGTGCCACTTATTTCCATGCTGTTTAAAGACCTCAGCCATCGCTTCAATCATCACCGAGCCCGTGCGAGGGTGCCGTAAAGCAACGTGATCTACAAAGTGAAAATATTTCATGTGTTTTCCTCCTCTGGTTGCACCGAACTTTTCTTTTACCCATAGTGAAACCTGTAAAATGGTTTTGAACTGAGAATACGGAAGCATTCTTGTATTAATAGGAGTGGGCCTGGGTCCATAAGAGACACAGACACAAAAAAAGGAAGCACTGAGCCTCCCAGGGGACTCCTGTGACCAACAGCATGTAACCCCTCAAGAGGGCAATTCTCTTCTATCAATCAATTTTTAAAATAAAACTTTTAAAATATTCACAAAAGGAGAAAGCAAAGTTTAACAAACTCCCATATGATCATCCCCCAGATTCAACAGTTATCGTTTTGCCATATTTCCGTCATTTATCCCTTCTTTCTATGTTTCTTAATGTTTATTTATTTTTGAAGGTGGGGGAAGTGAGAGAGAGAGACAGAGAGAGAGAGAGAGAGAGAGAGAATCTTAAGCAGGCTCGCACTATCAGTGCAGAGCCCAATGTGGGGTTCAAACTCACCAACTATGAGATCATGACCTGAGCTGAAATCAAGAGTCAGATGACCAGCCAACTGAGCCACCCAAGTGCCCCATCTATTTTTTTTTTTTTATTTCTGACTTTTGCTATAGGATCTTAAGCTAAATACCCCCCCAAATACATCAGTATAGAATTTATTTTGGGGTCCTCAAAAAAATTTAGTGGAATTGTTTTTATTAGTAGTTAGTAAAAAACATGAAACGTGTCTTTTTTTAGTGTGGAAATTTGATGGGAATATCAAAACCGTACCCTCTGATAATAAATCTAGGTTGGAACAGAAAAAAAACATGGATACACCTTTGCAATCTCAATATAGGCAAAGGTTTCTTAGAACACAAAAAGCATAAGCCACAAAAGAAAAAGATGCTAATTTGGACTTCATCGAAATTAAAAACTTTTGTTTTTTGAAACACGTTATTAAGAAAATGAAAAGCAAGCCACAGTTTGGGAGAAATATTTGCAATACATACCAGGCAAAGAACTTGTATCCAGAATATATAAATAATTCTCAGGGGTGCCTGGGCGGCTCAGTTGGTTAAGCGTCCGACTCTTGGTTTCGGCTCAGGTCATGATCTCCCAGTTTGTGAGCTCGAGCCCCACTTTGGGCTCTGTGCTGACAGCACAGAGCCTGCCTGGGATTCTCTCTCTCCCTCTCTCTCTGCCCCTCCTCTGTCTCTCAAAATCAATAAACTTAAAAAAATTTAAAAAGAAAATAATTCTTAGAACTTCATAAGAAAACCAACAACCCAACAAAAAATTGGACAACACACACGAACAGACATTAAGCAAAAGAAGATATGTGAGAGGACAACACATACGGGAAAAGATAATCACTAGGCCTCCAAGAAATGCAAATTAAAACTACAAGGTGATACTATTCTATACCCATCAGACTGTCTAAAATTTAAAAACAGATCAAACCAACTGATAATGAGGATGTGAAGCAACTGGAACTCTCATACGCTGCTGGCAGAAATGTAAACAATACAACCACATTGAAAAAGAATTTTCAACTTGGCAGTTTCTTTAAAAGTCAAACACACCTACTATGTGAACCAACCATTCCACTTCTTCGTATTTACCCAAGGAGAACAAAAACATACGCCCAAAGATGTACACACGTGTGTTCACAGTGGCTTCATCTGTAATAAGCAAAACCTAGAAACAACTTAAATGTTCAGTAACAAGTGAATGGCTGAGCGCATTGTGTTAACATTGTGTTATATTCACACAACTAAATACCACTCAGAAATAAAAAGGAATGAACCACTGATATACAAAACGACATGGGTACAACCCGAAACCATTATGCTGAGTGGAAGAAGACAAGAAGGGAGGGAGGGAGGGAGGGAGGAAACCTACATGCTATATAATTCTAGTCCTATAAAATTCCAGAAAATATAATCTAATCAGTGGTAACAGAAAACACAACCGTGGTGACTCAGGGATGGGGATGGAGGTTGGGACAGATTCAAACATGAAGAAAACTTTTTGCGGTGACGGCAATATTTGCTTATCTTGATCATGGTGATGGTGTCATGAACACTACTTCCATCTGTTCGAATGGTACACGTGGAATATGTACAGCTCATACTTCAACTATATCTCCATAAAGTTGTAAACAAATCCACAAAACGTATCTGTTTAGTATAGGAACCATACAGCAATTTCAGTATTGTCCCTCTTGGAGTAAATATGAGTTAGAAACACCACATCACGATGTTTGACAATCCATCCAGTGTTCTTCAAACTGCAGGTTGCGGCCCAATTATCAGCCAACAAATCAATTTAGCATACTGAAACTGTATTTTTTAGGGGCGCCTGGGCAGCTCAGTCAGTTAAGCATCCAACCCTTGATCTCCGCTCAGGTCATGATCTCATGGTTGGGAGTTCAAGCCCCATGGCTCATCCCATGCTTGGGATTCTGTCTCTCCATCTCTCTGCCCCTTCCCCGCTTGTACTTTCTCAAAATTAATTAATTAATTAATTAAAAAAAATGAAACTGCCTTTTTTGAAAATGGGATAAAATGGGATATAGTAGAAAATATTAAAGTACATCAATGCAGCAAGGGTAGCTATAATTTATAAAACTAGTGTTACATGTGTATTTATACTTTTACATAAATATATGTGATAGACTATAATGAAGTGTAGATTTTATCAATTCTAATATTGAAGTTTTCTGGGGGCCCCCCCCCCACTTAGGCATCTCTGAAATCTGGATGTGTTATATAATCTCTTCCGTGTCACAGAGTAATTAATTGGTAGCTCCCTGAGGACACAAAATAATGGTATGTCTTACAATCAAGGCATTAGATTTGATGCAACACAATAGCTCTTTCTTCCTGTAGGTTGTGGCAAATAACATTTGAAAGCCTCTAACCTAACATGGTCTGCAACCCCGTGGAGGATGTGCCAGTCAGCAGAGCGAAAATCAGTGTAGCTGCCAAGCATCTTATTAAATGAAAGATTATACATTTCTTGTCACTTTGAAAATAATCAGCTATTGTCGTCCATGGCCACGGGTTCAGTCCTCAGGACAGACTCTAGGCCACAAAAAAATGAGTCTGATGAGTAAAAACGGAGAACTTTAGACTTGGGCTGAAAGCTAGTGAATTTCCGCAGATTTACCAAACAGGGTCAAATTAAAAAGTCATCAGGACCGGGATTCCCCCAACATTGCATTAGATGATGACTCTGGCCATAGAACAAGAGCTCCAATCACTCACAAGACTGAAAACAAGTAGCCAATGAACACATGAACACTTTATAGCTTCTCTTATATATAGGTGAGATGGCTTGGTCACAGGCCAGGAGGGACAGACTCTAGAACTCACAGGGGTCAGGTAGCTGCTATAAACTTCAACGGTGAACTAGATGTCGGAAGCCCGAAGTTTGTTGAAATCTACTTTCTAAAAGAGGATAACTTTAAAATGTTTTAAATCCACCTTTTTTGCCCTTGATCTTAGCCAAAAGTCAAGCCGTGATTAAATCCATTGTTTGAATAGATAATACATTCAAATGGTTCACAATTCATCTATCAGTAGACGAGTAGATAAAAATATAGATGTATATTTATCTTACATGGACACCCATGCACACACACACACACATATATGCACAAGAGAATATTACTCAGCCATAAAAAAGAAAGAAATCTTGCCAACATGGATGGACTAGAGGGTATGCTGCTAAGTAAAATAAGCCGGACAGGGAAGACCTGCCATATAATTTCATTTGTATGTGGAATCCAAAAAGCAACAAAAAATGGACTCAAACACAAATGGTTCACAATTCAAATTATAAAAGGAATCCATCAAAGTCTCCCTCCCGCCTCATCCCACGCCCAAGAAATCAAACTCACGATCTGTGAGATCACAACCTGAGCCACCCAAATGCCCCACAGCTGTCTTATTTTCAGTAACTGTTGCATTTGAAACTTCACCATGATGATTCTTTCCAACTGCGGCACAGTATCCTACAGTATGAATATACCACTCCCAGTGGCTTTTAGATTCCTGCCCCTTCATTTGCCCCACTAAGCAACTTCAAAGGAGTGCCCAGAGTAGAGTGCTCGACTCAGCCCCATTCATCACTTTCCTGGTATTAGCACTGAAAAGTCCAGTCCCGGGAAACCCCTCCATCTCAGGCAAACTGGGACAGTCGGTCATCTTGTCCATGTATATACATGTGCAGGAGATTCCTCTGGGCAGAAGATCCCAAACTTTCTCAGTTCATGGTGCCCTTAGTGTCTCAGTAATTTTTTCACAGCACTCCTAGGCCAAAAGAAATACCTAAGAGATCCATTTACTAAAGTAGTTAGTTCCAAGCTCAGTATTAATATCTTAATAGCTGGGGCACCTGGGTGGCTCGGTCAGTTACGTGACCGACTTTTGATTTCGGCTCAGGTCACGGTCTCACAGTTTGGTGCTTGAGATCAGGGAGGGTCTCTCTCTCCCCCTCTCTCTCTCTTTCTTTCTCTCTCTCTCTCAAAATAAATAAACACTTTTTAAAAAGTTACATGTTATAATGTGAGGGATACAGTAAAAGCAGTACTCAGAGGAGATTATTTGAAAATGCTTATATTTTGGGGATGCCTGGGTGGCTCAGTAGGTTAAGTGTCTGACTTTGGCTCAGGTCATGATCTCACAGTTTGTGAGTTCGAGCCCTGTGTAGGCCTCTGTGCCGACTGCTCAGAGACTGGAGCCTGCTTCAGATCTGTGTCTCCCTCTCTCTCTGCCCTTCCCCTACTTGTGCTCTGTCTCTCAAAAATGAATACATGTTAAAAAAAAATTTTTTTTAATGCTTATTTTTTGAAAAGAGAGAAAATAATGAGCCAAGTATCTAACCAAAATAGTCGGGAAAAGAAGAGTAGAATAAACCCCCAAATGAAGAAAAATGGAAATTTTAATGAAAATTTATGAAATCAAAATTAACGAAATCAAAAACCTATACTAGAGAGAATGAACAAGACCAGAAATAGGTTCTTTTTTTTTTTTTTTTTTTTTTGAGAGAAAGAGAGAGAGGGCACAAGTGAGCAAGGGGCAGAGAGAGAGTGAGATTGAGAAAATCCCACGAGGGGCAGAGAGAGAAGAAGAGAGAGAGAGAGAGAGAGAGAGAGAGAGAGAGAATTCCACTCAGGCTCCGAGCTGTCAGCACAGAGCCCAACTCAGGGTCGAACTCACAAACCGTGAGATCATGACCTGAGCCGAAGTCGGACGCTTAACCAGATGCTAAGCCCGGCACCCCTAAAAATAGGTTCTTAATGAAACCACTGGCAAGACTGACCAAGATCAAAAGAAGGAAGCCACAAATATTAGAGATAAAAGGAGCATTACTATAGACTTACTGGACATTTCACGTGATTAAAGATACAACAAACCCTATGCCAAGAAATAATTTTTTAGTTTTTCTCCCACGGAGAAGCCAGTTTTCCTAGCAGTACATATTGAACAGCCTATTTTTTCAACACTAATTGGTGATGGCTTGTCACATACCTAGTTGTCCTGCATATCTGGTTCTGCGTGTACATTCTCTATTCTATTCTAGTGGTCTGTGTATACATAGAATTTTTATTATTGTTATATACTAAGTATTCTTTTTTTTCCTGTTGATTTATTTTTGACAGAGACGTAGAGACAACAAGCAGGAAGGGACAGAGAGGGAGACACAGAATCCAAAGCAGGCTCCAGGCTCTGAGCTGTCAGCACAGAGCCCGATGCGGGGCTCGAACTCACAAACTGTGAGATCGTGACCTGAGCCGAAGTCGGATGCTCAACAGACTGAGCCACCCAGGCGTCCCTATATCCTAAGTATTCTTATGTCACAAGTTCTCTCAAACATCTCATGTCCCTCAAATGTCCACACAACAATCAGCTGCTCCATGGGGACATCTCTACACATCTCTTTTTTAAAACGGCCATCTCCACTCCTCTCCCTCGATACTCCCTATAACCCTCATCCCTGCATTATTTTTCTCCATAGCACTTATCAGCATTTAACAGATTTTATTTTATTTTATTTTATTTTATTTTATTTTATTTTATTTTATTTTATTTATTTTTGGTAAACATTTCACTGAAAGAGAACCATCCCATAGCAAAGTGTGCAAAGCCTTAGGGGTACAGAAGAGCTCCATAAACTTTCATAAAGTGAACACACCCCATAACTAGAAACATCTAGAAACAAGATGATGCCGGCATTCCAGAAGTCCCCTCCTTGCCCCCTCTGGTCATTACCACCCCCAACACTCTGCAGCGCTGAGGGCAAATAGTATCCTGACTTCTAACACCACAGATTAGTTTTGCCTGTTTCAGAGCTTTATATAAATGGTATCGTAAAGTAGCACAACATATAGTTTCTGTGTTTCTCGTCTGTCTCCCCCACTAGTGCAGAAGTTCCGTGGAGGCAGAGAGTTTTAGTTCTTCTGTTCAGTACTGAGTCTCTAGCCCTTAAATGTATATACAGTCCAGCAGTCATAAAACTCATTTGTTCCATAAAACTGGAGCTTGAGGTTTCTCGCCTTGACCCTGAACTGTTCCATAATAATTCTGCAGTTAGTTTATATCAGGAGCTCATTTCCTTTTATCGCTGACTGGTAGTCCACGTGGGGCACACCAGGATTTGTTTATTCGCTCACCTGTTGATGGTCACTTGGGTTGTTTTCAGTCTTTGGCTATTTCAAATCAAGCTGCTATGAACTTCTGTGTGCCAGTCTCTGTGAGGCCACATGCGTTCATCTCTCTTGGAGAAACAACCAAGGAGTGAGATCTTTCGTCTAACCCTAGTGGGGAAGTTTCTCGCATCTTACCACTAAGGATGGTTTCATTTTAAGTGGTGGCCCTTAGTTTCCTTTGCCTGCATTTCTTCGGTCACATTTTATATCAAATTCCACATAGAGATTGAATATATATATATATATATATATATATATTTGCAAGCTACTTTAATCCTCTTTTCAAGTCAAGATAAAGCAGTGCCTGGGTGGCTCAGGCAGTTAAGTGTCCAACTTCAGCTTGGGTCGTGATCTCGCAGTTCATGAGTTCGAGCCCCATTATCAGGCTCTGTGCTGACAGCTCAGGGCCTGGAGCCTGCTTCAGATTCTGCATCACCCTCTCTCTCTGCCCCTCTCCTACTCGCATGTGCTCTCGCTCTTTCTAAATAAACCAACAAACATTTTGTTTTTAAATAAAAATAAGCCTAAAAAAAAAAAAAAAACCTAAAGAAATGTCCTGGACCCCTTAATTCTATCTCTCCAACATTTTTGTTTCCCCTCACAAGTGAATCAAGTCCACCCTCGCATACACAGATTCTTTTGGACTTTAACTTATTATCAATAATAGTATTAGTAACACTGATGATAATATTATTAGCAGAATATATTAGTAGTAATAGTATCTAATTTCTTTTTTTTTGTATTCACTATGCCATTAATTATGATAAGCACATCTGCTTTATAGAATTCAATTTATATAACATCCCAAAGACATAAGTGAATTCTATCATTCCCGTTTTACATGAAGAAACTAACATAGCTAGCAATTAAAAAATACTGAAGGTCTCAAATATACTAAGTGGAAGAACTAGCTTTTGGGCCAAGATCTTTTTCACAGAAGAGCCAACCATCTCATTCACCATGCAATACTTTGCTCGGGGGCCTGTGCGTTCCTGGAAGAATGATCTGTTTCTTTTGTTTAGAGATGCCAACCTGCCATCTCTAAAAGTGGGAACATTTGTGGGGCGCCTGGGTGGCGCAGTCGGTTAAGCGTCCGACTTCAGCCAGGTCACGATCTCGCGGTCCGTGGGTTCGAGCCCCGCGTCGGGCTCTGGGCTGATGGCTCAGAGCCTGGAGCCTGTTTCCGATTCTGTGTCTCCCTCTCTCTCTGCCCCTCCCCCGTTCATGCTCTGTCTCTCTCTGTCCCAAAAATAAAATAAAAATGTTGAAAAAACAATTTAAAAAGTGGGAACATTTGTAAACGGAGATGGAGAGGTTAACAAAAGATTCTCCTTCTAGATGTCAATTAGTAAGGCACAAATAATTTAAGGGAGGCCTGGGTGGCTCAGTCGGTTAAGCATCCGACTTCAGCTCAGGTCATGATCTCACGGTCTGTGAATTCGAGCCTCACGTCGGGCCCTGTGCGGACAGCTGGGAGCCTGGAGCCTGCTTTGGATTCTGTGTCTCCTTCTCTCTCTGCCCCTCCCCAACTCACACTCTCTCTCTCTCTCTCTCTCTCTTTAAAAAAAAATAAATAAATAATTTTAAAAAAAAGATTCTGAGAATCATCACGAATAACTTAAACCTTCTGGAAGAAAGTGTGTGTCATGGGGCGCCTGGGTGGCGCAGTCGGTTAAGCGTCCGACTTCAGCCAGGTCACGATCTCGCGGTCCGTGAGTTCGAGCCCCGCGTCAGGCTCTGGGCTGATGGCTCAGAGCCTGGAGCCTGTTTCCCAGTCTGTGTCTCCCTCTCTCTCTGCCCCTCCCCTGTTCATGCTCCGTCTCTCTCTATCCCAAAAATAAATAAACGTTGAAAAAAAAAAAATTAAAAAAAAAAAAGAAAGTGTGTGTCACTGGCATCTACCCTCACTGTCTCACCTGCCTGGGTAGGATAGATGATGAAGTAATCACTGAACGTGGGCAGCCTCCTCTTCTCAGATACGTCATCAGACTCCATGGGTTCATCGTCTGTCTCAACACCATTATCTCTTTTCTCTATTTTTTGGAGAACAAAAATACACACTACAGTAATGCACCGTTGACACCAGGAACCCTTAATCAACGTCCCAACAAGCTTGCACCTCCAGAAGAGGGAGGAATAGCCACAGAAGCTACGGAAGTCAGATATCGGCCCCGCAGGTCGCCTGGCATCACATGGACGGCGGGATGGCCCTTGGAAAGTGCACACATCTCTCTCAGATCTGAGGCTCCCTGGCCTACCCCGTGATGTGAGTGACTGGGACCATTCCTCAGCCAGAGTTAATGATTCCATCCCAGGTAAGTGTCCCTTCTGTCCCTTCCTCCCAGCCCAAAGTCTCTAGCACCCCACACAACTAAAGTCACATCGGCCGAGGGGCCTCTGATCGTAAACAAACGAACAAATAAATATTTGTAACTTCTTTTTCTTTTCTCAGTCATCCATAGGAGAATGCCCTAGACACAGGACTGGACCAAGAAGTCTCCACTCACCTCCTCTGCAGGCCTGGATTATAAAGATCTTTGGTTTCTCTTGAAGCGCCGGACAATTTTTATTATTAAACATTTCAAAAATGTCCTCCAGGCTGACTCTCTCACCATCTTTCATCTTAATAAAGCCTTTCTCCCCGTGGGACATAAGAGTAACAAGGCAACAGCCAACATCATCCTTAATTTCATTGAGTCCATCCCGAAATGATGATATTTTCCCAAGTAACTCCTGTAAAATAGGATCACATATTCAAAATAACTGGAGGGAAGTAAAATCAGAAATGCCGGAGATGGTTCTTTTCAGTAGGCAATCCGAGGATATGACAAGTACGAAAATAACTACATCTCAGGCAGGGTTCGTATGAGGTAAATATCAGTTCCTGAACTTGTCCCTTCCCTTTTGGCTGCTCTCAGAATTCCCGTAATTTCTGTTTGTGCCATTGGTTCTTGTTTAACAGAATTAGGGCATTTCTGATTCTCTACTGCAAAAAAAAACAACATAATGATAGCTCCCCAAAGGGTTAGTGTATGTAAATTTTATATTATTAACTTATTTTAACATATAAAGTTATTGTTTTCTAAAATTAATGCCCTCGGGGTGCCTGGGTGGTGCAGTCGGTTAAGCGAACCTGCCAGAACCTATGGAGAGGCGTCATCAGAATCAAGCCCCCTAGAGAGAAACGCAAGACGGGAATGGCGGCCATCACTGCTCCCGTAAACCTTGTAGCCAAGATTCCAGTCCCTTCAATAAAGCACGTAAAAGTGAAATGAAGTCTAAATACGGTAAACAAAGAGCCAAAACTCATTTTTTACACATATCATGACTTTCTAGAAATACGAAATAATCAACCAAGTAACTACTGGAACCAGAGGCCAGTGAGCTGACTGGATACAAGATTAACTCACAAAGATCAAAGATCCTCTCCCCCCACCCCCCACTCCGGTTACCTGGCAACAATCTTTTAAACCCCATAACAGAAAAGGGGGTCCCATTCACGGTCACACCCAAACTAGGACACTACCTAGGAATAAACCTAAATGAAGAAAGGATAAAGCTTTAGGGAAGAGGCGACAATAAACCGTGACATGCCCACGCTTCTCTTAATACTACTGATTTGCTGATTCACTCCAAATGAATCTCAATTCAATGTCATGGCAATCAAAATCCCAAAGGGTTTCAGTGGAAATTAGCCAGATTATTCTCCAGGTCACAGAGGAGACAATCCTCAAGAAGAGCCAAGCATATTCATAAGAAAAAAAAAAAGAGAGAGAGAGACAGAGAGAGAGAGAGAGGAGGGATAGCCCTATCAGGCATCAAAATGTCCTTAAAAATCATGGTGAATGAAACAGGGAGATACTGGCTTAGGTATAAACAAATATATGAATGGAATATTTTAGATTCTAGAAACCAATCGAATTATATATGGGAATTTATTTCACAATAAAGGCAGAGTTTTAAGTATGTGGGGGAAGGACACATTATTCAATAAATGTTGAGACAACAGACTATCCATCTGGACATAAGGTGAGGCTTCCTACTTCACACTGTTCCAAAAATAAGATTCCAGAGTAGAAAGGAAAACCTTAAGCTATAGAGAAAAATAATTTAAGCATTTTCTAAGTTGGGAAGTCATGGGGTTTAATCAAGACACAAACAACAAGAAGCTGACAAGAAAGACTGACGAGTTTACTCACAAAAAAATTAAAAGACTTCCATATGACTTAGGACAACAAAAAATCAAGTCACAGGGTAAGAGAAACATATCTGCAGTACGTTTGTAAATGAATAATATCCAGGAAAATAACTATAAGAACAAGAAAAAGACCACCCAGTAGGAGAAAGGGCGAAGGAAGACAGAACAGATAATTTACAGAAGGAAAAAAATGGCCAAAGGATGTTTAACCAAACTAAGAATCGGAAAAACGAAACTCCGAACCATGAAATACTTTTGCCAGTGACATTACTAAATATTTATAAACGTTGCCAGGATGCAGGAAAAGTAGCCACTTAAGACCCTGAGGAGCATAAACTAAAAGAACATTGGCAGTTTCTGCCATTTGAATGAAAAGGACAGGATTAAAAACCATGCAAAATGAAGAGATTCTGGTCCAATCCTTGGGGAAAGGACATTTGGGGCCAGAAAATTCTTTGCTGTGGGGGCTGTTCTGGGCATTGTAGCACCCTCCAGTTGTGACAACCAGAGATGGCTCCAGATATGGCCAAATGAGGGGGACAAGTCACCCTCAGATGAGAACCAGATTTAAGGTAACAACTAGCAAGGGACAGGATTCCAGCCGAGGCAGCCTGTGTGGCATCCACAACCCCATGCTATGCTGTTCCTTGACATTCATTAGCAGTGACTCCTGGGATCTAAGAAGGGCTTTCCTATGTTACTGTCCCTAAATAAGGGCAGGTCTGAGTCATGTCTCAGCTAAGGTCAAAGAGATCAAATGGAGTTCCCACCATCCTCTTCCACCTTATTTTTTTCAGTACAATCTAGTTAAGTCACAACACAATTCTGCCCACAGTGCTATCGGCTCCCTCCCCACGCTTCTCCCAGGGTTCCAAGTGAGTCCCACAAAGACTCATGCTGCTGGAATCCCTCTGGCCTGCCTCCTGATGACCTCTCAAAGGGGTTTCCTTGGTCTTTCCTGCTCCTAAATGCTCTGGAACTTGCCTACTCCAGACTCCACCTTGTCCTTGGCCCCCTTGCCCATCTTGCCAAGGATGCCTTCTGGGGTTCCCTCCCCTCTTCAACTGCAGGGCCCTAGCCAAGACTGGAGCCCAAGAGGTCCCTGCCTGACTGGAAGGGGAGGTAGGGTATCGCACACGTAAAATTACAAAAGCATCAAGAGTTTTATCAGGACACATATGTCATTGAGCAGCAGGTAGGTCCTGATTCTTACCAGGTGTTAAAACCCATTTTTTTAAAAAAGAAAGGAAAATTGGAAGATCCAAGTTAGGTTCCTCATTGTTTTTTATTTTTACCATTTTGTTTGGATCGATGCACGAAGTATGCTCAAACTGGCATTGGCCAAGCCATTCGGTCATTAGCATGACGTCCCGGTGAGCCCCGGGTCTGTTCTTCTCCACACACATGACGAAAGCCTTCCGCTTGCCACTCAGGTCATAACAGTCCTATTTTCCAGGAAAGCCAACAATAATTAAACCAAACCAAACCCAGAAATCCAAATGTGTCATAGATACAAAATAATGAGTTTCTCTAGGGATCGATGGTGAGGTTTCCCAGTTTGGATCAGGGATGCAACACTGATTGTCTCTCTTATTAGTTATGGAACGGGGGTGGGGGGAGTCATGACTTGATTTATAATCCTTTCAAATATCTTCCTCAGACTAGGACTAATAGGCCAATCTCAGTTTTAAATTCCTACGTATAGCTAGAGTATCAGTTTAAGGAAATATGGCGGACAGAGGAAACGGTAAATGACCACACAAGGCTGCAATCATCAAAATCCAGAATGTGGGACATTCTACAGACAACTTGGTTTCTTTAATAGATAAATAACAAGAAAAAAGGCTAAAGAAAGAAGAAGCATCCTAAGTTAAGAGTCTTAAGGCACAAAGCAAACAACCGTAATTGTGTAGGCCCTGCATGAATCCGTATCCTGATTCAAACCACCCACCTGCAAAAGACATAGGAACGAGTCAAGGATATCTGAATGCTAACCGCCTCTTTGCAAACATTAAGGAAGTTGTTTTTAGGTAGAATAATGGTATTGTGGTTATGTTTTGCAAAACCTCTTTCTCCTGCTAAAGATTCAGAGATCCACACGAAAGTGTCCGTAGATGAAAGGGACAGGATTATCTGGATTTGCTTCAAAATAATGGGAGCGGGAGCACACAAAACAAGATTGGCTCTATGTTTCTAATTTGCCGAAGCAGGGTCATAAGTACGTTGGGCTGGAGTTGGGGAGATTCGTTTTTCTATCCCACTTTACTATTTGTTCAAAATTTCCATAGTAAAGCTTAAAAAAACCAAACGCTAGAACCAGCAATGTACGTAGTCGTCCAAGGCCATACAGCCAGGCATTGAACTTCCACTGAAGTTGCCTCACTTTTCTTGACTTGTCGAACAGAAATAACAGCAGTTCCTACCTTGTTTGGTTAATGCACGCACAGTGGTTGTCACTGGCTAAAGTTTATCTTCCACTCTCATAACAAAAAGCAGTGAGATATGACCACTTGAGAAAACCATACAGATAGTCTCTAACCAACAAGAACAGCGCACAAAAAAAATGTTAAAATGGCAGTTCAAGCGGCTAAATAAATACCATCCTTCCTAACCAGTGTGCGGTGCTGGAGTGAGAGCAAAAATATTTACCAGTTCGCCATCCACACAGTCATAGCTTCTCTTTAGAATCTTTCTTGGAATCTCTGCATGAATTTTCATGAAAAGAGAATAAAACAGGAAAAACACATTATTATTTTCCCATTTTTTAAGTTTTAATCAAGATCCACTGTCATCCCTACTAACAGGAAGCTCCTCCCAAGGAATTCTGTTGCCTCTTACGTTTTGGGGGTCCAGCAGGCTTCAACCTCGCTTTAGAACAGGTTCCCTGGATTATGAACACCTTCCTGCAAACTCATGAGGCTGGAAACTTAAAACCGGCTTCCCGTAGGCCACAGTTGGATACAAGGGCAGGAAGAGCCAGGCCAGAGATAAAAAGGGACAAGGTCTAACTGACATATTACTGCACATGTACTTCCTGGAGAGGAGATTAAGACATCGATAAAGGGAAAATTGAAGTAAAGGAACTAGGCATTGCCCCGCGTTGGGCTCTGGGCTGATGGCTCGGAGCCTGGAGCCTGTTTCCGATTCTGTGTCTCCCTCTCTCTCTCTGCCCCTCCCCCGTTCATGCTCTGTCTCTCTCTGTCCCAAAAATAAATAAACGTTGAAAAAAAAAATTAAAAAAATAAATAAATAAAATTTACAAAAAAAAAAAAATAGCATAATCTCTTAGCATTTAATTCCAACATTTATTGGGTGCCTACAGTGTAGAGCCATAATATTGTGTAGGTTGGATGACTCTGGAAAAAAAAAGCCCACTTTGCCAACAGTCTAAAGAGGTGATAGCAAAAGTGATACATGACCAACGAACCTGGGAGGGACGACACAAGGGCTTTGTAGGTGCAGTGAAAGCAGGGGGAGTCAAGGCTCCCCAGGGCCAGTATTCTGCCTGTAGGCCATGTGTGGTGGGCCATTACAGTTGTCATGCATTACAAGTCTAAACAAAATCAGCAACAGTAACACACCTAGAAGCTCAATCAGATCATAGGCACGCAGATGGCAGAGGTCACCGACGGTACATTTTACTGTCTATCTCAATGGCTCCCATGTACGTGCTGCTTCCTCTCACTCCTCTCTCTCACATACATATTATGTACACATCCGTTTATCAAATCGGGCCGGGGGGGGGGGGGAGCCCCACCTCCCTCAACCTGTTCCATACTACATTTCTTGATCATAAGCCACATCTTCCCAGATTGACGGCAAATGGTCTCATGGTGTGCAAGAAGAGCCACCCCTTCCGTAAATACACCCCCTGGGGGTGTGACAGTGGGGTTTCCAACACTGGGCTTCTCACTGCACCACTTGGAAACCTCCCACATCATAATCTCTTGAAGGTAGTCGTTAACGAAGCATCTCAGGCCTGCTGCTGAGTCGATCTGCTCTTTGAGCCGACCCCCAAAATGTGCTCGTAAACCCTGATGGCCGCTCTTCGACGGATCACTCGGATTCCGCGCCTGGGGATGGCGACTCTACGGGCTGCTTCACCCAAGGTTCCCACCTCCCACCGCGCGTCACCTGGCTCCTAGGGCACCCGCCAGCCCCTGGCTCCGCTAGCCTCCGCCCCGCGGGCTGCCCGGGAACCCGCCCCCAGCCCCGGCAGCCCCCAGATCCCCCGGACCTCTCCCCCCGGCCCGGCTGTCCCCACTCTCACCCAGGCTCCGCCCCTCCGCCGGGCCGCCGGCCGCGCACCCGGGCCCCGCCCCCTAACCCGGCCGCCACCACCCCGCCCCCCATCCCGGCCGCCGATCCGGGCCCAGCCCCCAGCCCCGGCTCGCGGCAGCGCCCCCGCTCACCCCGGCGGTCGTCGTCTTCCGCGCTCTGCCAGCGCGGCAGCAGGTCGGCGCGGCGCAGCTGCTGCAGCACCTTGATGAGAACGCGCGACACGGCGGGCAGGTAGTAGTGCTGGGCCAGGAGACGGGCCAGCCCCGCCTTGCTGCCGCCCTCCAGCTCCAGCCGCAGGGGGCTCACGCGCGGCCCCTCGTCCACGGTCTTGAGGAGGACGCGGAAGTGGCTCAGCTCCCGCGGGGACAGCAGGTCCAGCGTCTCTTGCACGCGGCTCTGCAGCTCCTCCACGGTCGGCGTGATCTTCGGAGGCGCCTGGCGGCCGTCGGACCCCCAGCGCCAGCCGCTCCCAAGGCTCGTCGCCATGGCCATCCAAAGATGCTGCAGCGCCCGGGCCGGAGGGGCCAACCGCCGAGGTCTCAGCCCCGCGGGCCGCGCACGCCTCCCGTTTCTCCCTTTGTTTTGTAAAACGGAGGCGTTTCCGCTCGTCTTAGCTACGGCCGGGCGGGCTGGCGGCGGCGACCTGGAGATCCCGCCAGGCTTCCTCTGCGGCCCCGCCCCTGCCTCGAAGCCCCGCCCCCACCCGCCCGTTCCCGCTTAACCCTCGGAGCCCGGGCAGGGAGAGCTTGGTGGCGGGGGTTCTCCGTGGTTCTCCGCCGGGGCTGCGCGTTAGGGTCACCTGGCTAACTAACTCCTCGAGCTCAGGCCACAGTCCCGGCTGATTACATTCGAATTTCTGGGTGGCAGACCCAGGCATCAGCCGTTCTGAAAGCTCTTCAGGTGAGGGGCGCCTGGGTGGCTCCGTCGGTTGAGCGTCCGACTTCGGCTCAGGTCATGATCTCGGGGTCCGTGAGTTCCAGCCCCGCGTCGGGCTCTGTGCTGGCAACTCGGAGCCTGGAGCCTGCTTCGGATTCTGTGTCTCCCTCTCTCTCTGCCCCTCCCCTGCTCATGCTCTGCCTCTCTCCGTCTTTCAAAAATGAATAAACATTAGAAAAACATTTAAAAGCTCTTCCGGTGATTCCAATGTGCAGCCAGCTTTCGTTGGAGAGGGAGAGGTGAAAAAGGTTGAGGCTTGAGAATTTGAAGTCGGCAAGAAGTTGGAAATGCACACTGCTCAGCCTGGGAGTCATGGAAGGGACATTGCCTTGGGGAGCAGATCTCAGCTTGGCAACGGCCCGTTACTGTCACTGCTGCTCAGTTCCCTGACTTGCTGGGGACCTCAGGAGCTCACTCTAATTGTGATTTGCCTCAAAATTACTTACCCTGTGGAAGATCTGGTGAAGGAAACTCAAGACCTTGTTTGCATCCCGATTCTAGTAAGCCAACTGTAAAAACTCCCTTTTTAAAAAAGATTTTATTTGGGGGGCACCAGGGTGGCCCAGTTGGTTAAGCCTCCAGGCTCTTGATCTCTGCTCAGGTCATGATGTCATGATTGGTGAGATTGAGCCTTGCATGGGGCCCCCATGCTAACAGTTTGGGGCCTGCTTGGGATTTTCTCTCTCCCTCTCTCTGCCCCTCCCCAATCACAGGAAAACACTCAGGTGTGCTCTCTCTCAAAATAAACTTAAAAAGATTTTATTTTCCAGTAATCTACACCAACTGTGGGGCTCAAACTCACAACCTGGAGATCAGTCTAGTTCCACAGACTGAGCCAGCCAGGTACCCCTAAAAAGTCCTATTTGAGATCACTGGAAATGTGAATATGGGCTGGGTTTTGGAGGATATGCAAAAAATTTGTTAGCGTTTTCCAGGTGGGATAAAAACATTGTAGTTATGTAAGAAACATGTCCACTATTTTTAGAGCTGCAGATTTTTAGAGATGAATGATGGGAAGGGTGAAATAGCCTGATGTCTGAAATCTGCTTTCATAAAGGAGAAAGTGGAAAGACAAGAGTGGCAAAATCCTGATCGTCGGTTTTCATCTCAGTGATGCGAATGAAGGGCCAATGTACCATTCGCCCTACTCTGTGTTTGAAATATTTTGTTTATATATTTATAGAAACTGAATGTAACGGCAGCTTGAAATCTTTGCTTCTGTCCTCTTTGGGCCCATATGCCTTACTAGGCCTTATCTGTAGTGGCCAGACAAGTGTTTGCTTCCACAAAGCTCTGCCTCTAAATAATTTGAAGTCTGAGGCAGCCAAGAACAAGTCAACTTGTTAAAGAGGCACTGGGCAGAGTTTCCGAAGCCAGCTGAGACTCACAAACTTTAATAGCTGTGACAGACTGCAGGAAAGACAAATTCTTGGGGCCTGGAATATGCAGATATCCAGGACCACATCCCTCTGGAATCAGGGTTAAGGGCAAATTCCAGTTTTACCCCATGTTTAGAGAAAATTAGACTGTTCCTCCAAACCTCATTTGCCCCCAAAGAACAAATGAGCATGGAAGGGGACTCTGGTGGCCAAAACTCACCAACCAAGTAGAAGGTGAGCAAACTGGGGGGAAGCCTGTACCTCTGGGCCTCACCTCTGCCCCTCCCCTCCCAGGGGCTCTTGGCAGGTCCCCCACTGACGAGTTAGGCTCCCCTGGCCCAAGATGAGGGTCAAAGATGACCCGAACACCCTAACTCAGGACCCAAGTTCTTAGGAGGCAGACACTATACCTAGGCCTGTAGTGACTGGCCTGCGTTCCATTCCTGTCCCAGCACACATCTGTCCTACGTGACCTCCTACTTTCCCCAGCACAGGGCCTCCCGCACCTAGGTCACCAAGCCCTGGTGGCTTCAGGGTCACTGAGATTAGGATCCTCCTCTGCCCTCTCCCATACTCCTCCATTATTTTGAATAGGGTATTTACTTATTTATTTAACATTTATTTTTGAGAGCGAGAAAGACACAGCACAAGCAGAGGGGCAGAGAGGAAGACACCAAATCCAAAGCAGGCTCCAGGCTCTGAGCTGTCAGCACAGAGCTGACACAGGGTTCGATCCCACGAACTGCAAGATCATGACCTGAGCTGATGTCAGAAGCTTAACCAACGGAGCCACCCAGGTGTCCCTTGAATGGGACATTTCAACCTAAAACCTAAAGTATAAACATAATTAAATTTATATGCATCACAGGTTGAATTGTGTTCCTATGAATGTGATCTTATTTGATGATGGGTCTTTGCAGATACAATCAAGTGGAGGTCCTTCTAGAGTAGGGTGTGCCCGAATCCAGTTACTCGTGTCCTTCAAAGAAATTTGGACACAGAGACAGATGGACAGACGGGAGGCTTTCTGGAGATGGAGGCAGATTGGAGTGACGAGTGTCAAGAATTGCCAGCAACCACCAGAAGCCACAACTATCCTCCCCTGGAGCCTTCAGAGAAAATTATGTCCCTGCTGACATTTTGATTTGAAGACTCTTAGGCTCCAGAACAAATTTCTGCCAGAGGCTACCCAATTTCTGGTCACTGGCTGTGCGGCCCCAGGAACCTACCACAATGCAGCAGAAACATCTGCTCTTTTAACCCTCACCATCGCCCTAGGAGGTAGGGAATATCCCGATCCCCGCTTTACAGGAACAGTTGCAAAGTGTGTCTAAATAAGTAGAGAACCAGGCTTTCCATCTGGGCCACCTAGATCACAGCCCATATCCTTAACCAGGAGACCAATCTTCTTTCTGCTGTCTGGATAAACGTATGGCTCTTTCCAAAGTTGAAAAGCTGATAGGAAAGCCTGGGTACCCAACTCAAGTGGCTACAATAAATAAAACAAACAATAACGTGTGGAGGAGGATGTGGGGAAATCAGAACGCTTCCGCACTGCTGGTGGGAACGGAGGATGGTCTGGAGTCTGGGAGTTTCTCAGACGGTTAAACACCGCCACCACATGATCCCGCAGTTCTCCTCCTAGGCACATACTTCTAGAAGAGCAATGAAAAGCTAGGTCCACACAAACACTTGTATGTGAACGTTCACAGTGGCATTATTCCTAAGAGCCCCAAAGTGGAAACAATTCAAGTAGTCCTCAACTGAGGAATGGATAGTACGATGTTATGTGGCCACGCACACAACAAAGGACAGTGCTGAACGTGCCACATGGATGAACCTCAAAAGCGTTACGCTAAGCGAAAGAAACCAGATGCGAAACTACAAACTGTACGACTGCATTCATAGGAAGCGCACAGTAAAGGCAAGTGATGGACGGAAAGCGATCAATAGCTCCCAGCGGCTGGGGCTCAGAATGAGATCTTTAAATCTGAGATCTTGGGGGCTGAACGTGTTCTAAAACGGATCCGTAGTGATGGTTGAGCCCCTCAGTGAAGTTACCAAAAATCACGGATTGGTTTATTTGAAATGAGGGGATGGTACAATGTGTGAAATAAAGCTTTTTAAGAGATGTTTAGGTCGAAGGACCTATATGGGTCAAGAGCCAGCCGCCTTGGATTAATTTGGTTATTTTAGAACACAGAGGGGACACTATTGAGGTTTTCCAAACAGTTTTCAATGATAAAGTGCTTCACTTTATTTATGTGAATTTTAGCAGCAGGAAAAAAAAAAATGCCAGAACAATTCAGAATTAAAACAGGGCTGAGGCCAAGAACAAAAAAACGTTATTTGGACACTTAGAGGCTAAGAAGCCACCGTCCCCACTTCTTTAGAGGCTCTCCAGGTGATTAAGTAACCACCAGTTAAGTAACAACATCTTTTTTCCCCTCGTCCTAACAGCACCCCAGACACAGCCTTCAGCCTGGTGACAAGGACCCCTCTCCCAGCAGATGGGCTTCCCCCACTGGAGCGCCTCGGCCGCAGCGCCAGTCCGCGGATTCTCTGGCGGTGCGATTCCTTGCCCAAGGACAGATCCAAACAGCAGCCTGGTGTAGGTGGGTGTAGGTGAAGCAGAGCTACCTGACAGAGCTCTCTCCAGAAACCCCTTTTTAAGAAGTCCTGCAGGATGGGCAAACCCTCTCCTAACTCCCTAGCGCGCGGTACGCATCAGTAACACCTCTTTCGGGAGATCCTGAAGGCTTGAGTCGGGCCCATCTATTCTCTACTCAAACTGGGTAACTGAAGGTGACGTAGCTGCCTGGCTTTCCAGACAGGACATCCTCTAACTCCGGGACAGTGAGACGGAGCAGCCCTCGGCAAGAGCCGGGCAAGGCAACAGAGCCCATCTGTCCCCAGGCCCCTGTCGGTCAGGACTTCAGGCCCATCTTGGCCATCATCTCCTCGTAGACTGTCCATGCCATTGCTGCCATCAGAGTTCTGCGGAGGGCCCGGGGGACGCCACCTTGGAAGAAGCCACGCAGCCCATAATCCTACAAGGAAAATGAACGTCAACACTCTGGAAGCAAAGCGGCAATACAATGAACACCCCTAGCACACAAGAGCGAGGGTCTCCGTTACCCCATTGTTGAGTCTTCATTACTTTTATAGATAATGCCAAGAGTATGAATAATGGACCCAAGAAGGCAATGAACTTGAAAAGGTTTTTTTTGGCACAGTTGCGAAGCTTTCTTGCTTTATCCAGGGGAATGCATTTCTCGGCTGAAAATCTTCATCAAGGGTTGCCTATACCGCTGTGCAGCTTACACAGCTCAGAGGCACCAAGCGCCAGCTGGCGGCTGAGTCCCAGACCTCGGTCTGCATGCCAAGACCTGGGCCCTGGCTCCAGGCTAGAGGAAAAGGTGCCTTTATGATGATTTGTCTGCCTGGAGGGAGCTTCTTTCCATAGTTTCATAATATAAGAATTAGAGACAAAACGCCTGTTACTCCTCTAGAGCAAATTTCTAGAAACAAAATAATGTGTTTGTGGGGTTTTTTGGGGACTCTGGTTCCTCCTAGGTCCTTGATCGGATGACTAGACCCTCCCTGCTCACCTGATTCAATAGGTCTGGGGTGGAGCCCAGCAATTCCAAGTTGAACGAATATAACTGGTTGTCCTAATGTAGTCAGTTTCCCCCACCCACCACCAAAAAATCCCCGCAACCAACCATAGGTTTTTAGCAGTGATTTCAACCTTGGCAACACCTTGGAATCACTAGGGAACTTAACTACTGATCTGGGCTTCACCTGCTCCCAGGCATTCAGATATCACCAGCCCAGATTATGATCTGGAAGTGAGGACTTTTCTTTTTTAGTTTATTTATTTATTTTGAGAGAGAGAGAGAGAGAGAGAGAGAGAGAATGCAAACCACAGAGAGCGAGAATTCCAAGCAGGCTCCACACTGCCAGTGTGGAACCCAAACTCATGAACCGTGAGATCATGACCTGAGCTGAAATCAAGAGTTGGACACTCAACCGGCTGAACCACCCAGGCGCCCCAGGGAGTGGGACGTTTTTAAAGCTCCCCAAGTGATTCTATTGTGTAAAGGGCACAAGATACTGCTCTAGAGAGAGCCGTAACCCCAATAAGAACCAATATTTACTCCATAGCCTTACTTTGAAAATGAGGGTCACCGCCTGGCCAATCCACCGAAATTTCACTGGGGTGAGCTGCATATGAGTTTTGATGACATCCGCAGGTTGAGTTACCAGGGAGGCCAGAATACCAGCAAAGATCCCACAGCTGAAATTTACAACAGGAATAAGGGCTGCATCCAACTGGTCTGAAATAGGACAAAGGCAACATTCGGTTACAAATAAATCCCACACTCAACTCGGAAGTATCCCTACTAAGTTGACCACTAATCCTTCCCCAAAGTTAGAAGGATGTAGATTCAGACAAGGTTAAGAAATAGACATTTAAAGGTACACTATGTGTAGATGGAGTAGTGGGAGTTAAAATTCGCTTTTTTTTTTTTTTTTACAACTATCGCCATCATAATTCATTCGGGCAAGAATCACGGGCTAAAACATATGAATGAAAGGAACAGGATGTTTTATATAGATGTATGCAGACTCCAGGTATCTCCCCAGTGAGACGCTTACAAATGACAAAAGAAAAAGTGAGTTTTTCAGTGGAGACACTATCTTGTCCAAGTGATAAAAAGTTAGTATCGCCCACAGTGGGTCAAACCAATGTCATGAGCTTCCTGACATGGAGATATTTAAGGGTAAAGGGGCATCCCTCCTGCAACTTGCTCTTAAACAGATGGGAATAAACAATTATACACATAGAGAAATCAAAAGTGTACATCCAAGCTCCCTTACTGCCCTAACTTTCCATGACAAAATGAAGGCTGTGACCTGCAGTGTCAAGGCCCCCGGTGCCTTGGGCGGAGCAGGAAGCCTCCTAAAAAGCACCCCAACTGTACTTGATCACCACCGTCATGATGGCACGCCAGCTTTCCCACTTACGTGACCTTGGTTGCATATCCTTTCTCGAATTATCCAGAGACCCCTTATTGAACACAGGTTCATGCCACAGAACGTGTTTCCATTAGCACCTGGCTCCGCTTGGGTGAACGTTTGCTGCCCACTGATTGTGTCCTTGTCGTATCCAAATGAGCTTGCTGGTGGGGTGGGTGTGCCAGCACGCCTGAGGTTTGGCACCTTTCTCTCCACCCCAACAGAGGCTCAAAACCACTCTTAACTGGGAACACAGCAATGGAGGTGAACTGGTACTTTCCTTCCAGCTCCTACCCTACTGGCGGTTCCCAGACTTGTCTGATGAGAATCCCACCAACTGCTTCTTGAGGAATAGACTCCCAGGTCTTGTTCCAAAGCTTCTGATGCAGGAGGCCCTGGGCAGGACCCAGCAATCTAAAGATGGGGTGACTCTGCAAAGTATTATGGCAGGACTTCTGCGAAACACGCTTTACTTCACCGCCTACCCCACTCAAGATTTTTAGTACTACCAGTACTCTGCCATAAGAGACTATAAACTGGAGGGGGCAGGGACCAAGTCTATCATGACCACCACTGCATCCCAGCACCTGACATGGCTCAGTTCCTAAAACTCTGCCAAGAATCTGGAGTTGCTAAGAACATTAAACAGTGTCACACAGCAGAGGAAGCAGGGAGGATCTGCGGTCTCAGAGCTCTCTCTTCCCCGCCACACCTTCGACCGTCCGTACCGTGGGTCATGATGTTTTTGGTCTGGTTGTAAAACATCAGGTAGATTCCAGAAAAGGGTGCGTCACGCAGAAGTGTTGCTGTCAGGCCACTGAAGAGTCCCCGGTGCCCCTCGCTGCGATAGATGCTCTTCAGGGCTGCGTAGATGCTCTCATAGCCATACCTCCCGCTCTGCAAGGGAAGCACAGGACCAGTGGCTGGCAGGGCGGTCCCGGGCTGGAGTAACAACCAATGCGACTCCAGGGTATGTGGCATTACCGGGGCACCGGGGGCTCTGGTTCCCACGTGGCTTGGGTTCTCTGACCACAGCAGCCTCTATTTTTGATTCTAAATCGGGGGTGGACATCGGACGGCGGCCCAGTGCCTCTGGTTACCCAGCCTTGAGGCCTAGAGCAGTCAGACTCACCTCGTAACGGGTCTTGATCACAGTGATGGGTGACATGCAGACCCCTGCAACTGAGCGAGAGCCCACTCCCAGGATGACTGACTCCAGGGCGGTTGGTGGATGGCCTCGCAGAAAGTACTGCTTCAAGGAGTAGAGGGTGCCGAAGTAGATACCAATGCCGGGGACACACCTCACAATGGACTGCAGAAAACGTCAGAGGGGGGGAAGAAGTCAAAGGCTGACACAGTAAGACACCGTCTTAGCCGGCTTTTCCCAAAACAAGGCCAAGGTTTGCGTGCCAGTAGTCGACTGAAGGTGCGGAGGGACACCAAGAAGAGAAAGGGGAAGTGAGAGACAGGAGGGAAGGCAGCTGACAAAGGGCGTGTTCCCTAAGCCACTACTGCCCCGGGCAACTCAATCCCTTTGGGGAACTCTGGGAATCTTGGTGTAGGGCGCCTCCCTGTTACCCCGCCATCTGAGGAGGGTGAGTGAGAGTTTTAAGCATCCAGTGTCATCTTCCGTCGACTAAAGGGCTGCTGCGGGCCTGGGTGAGCGTTAATTTCCTGGCACTTCCGGCAAAGTGACTTCCTCACTTCCGGCAAAGTGACTTCCTCGGGCCAGGAAAGCCGGCAGGTAAAGAAATGCAGGTGTGGCCTGCGTGCTCTGAAGGGCAAGGACAAGGACATGCTGGCAGCTGAGGGCACCAGCTACATCTGCTCTGCCGCTTGCCCCCAAAGGGCATACAGACGTCCCATTTCCTTCCCTGAGCCCTCAGAGCTAGCAGCAGGAGACCAACCGAGGACCTCGTAGGACGCTCACCTATCCTAACGAGAGGATACGTGAGGTGCATGAGAAATGGCTGGCTATTACAGCAAAGGGTGCAAGAGAAGACCCAAAACGCAGCTTACGGGAGACATCCCTTTCCAAAGGCCCAGAATGCTCTCCGTGCGAACCACCTTCAAGAGAAGAGCCAGCATCCCAACACGCCTGGATCTGAAAGCCGACAGAACGGAGACACAGATGAAAAAAAAATGACTTAGACCCCCATCCTCGTAAAAGAGCTCCCCACCCAAAGACCGCTTTGCGGGACTTCTTTCCTAAGAACGCTCAGGAGTCTCGGCAACACCTCTTGGGGTAACTCCGAGTTCGGCTACGTTCGTGGTTTGGCGCGTACATGTCGATCTGTGCGTTCACACTGGAAAGGATGACCTCCCATTTTGCATGCGTGTCGTATACTTCCCACAGTGCCAGGCCCAGTAGGGGCATAAAAGAGCCACTTAACATTTGTATTATTTCCAGAAAACCACCCACACGTCTCGTAGCAGACAGCACAGTTAAAACATTACAGGCTAGCACGAGAAAATGCGAATGTCCCCCCATTCAATTAACAGGAAATGTCGAAGAAAAGGTGGGGTGAAAAGTTGGGCCTGGCCCGTGTTGCTCTCGAAGCATCCAGCAGGATGGGCATTGACTTAACATTGCTGAGAGGCAGCGGTGTCTGCGAGTTTTGAGGAGGTCTAGGGGCTGGAAAAGGAGGGTGGAGCAGGTCCCACTGATGGAGCCACACAGGAAAGCTTTGATCACCGGATGCAGCTGCAGGCAAGAGAACGCTGGGTCAGCAACTCTGTCGCCAGGGGCCTCAGCCTCCTCCACCCGAGACCAGTCAACTGCTCTCTAGGGGTGGCTTAGAAAACCGTCCGGTGGTGCTCTGTATTACCTTCCCACTTCAGAGAAGGGAAAAGTGTTCCCAGGAACGAACAGCGCTGGCATGGTGCGCAGAACATAATATCCTGCTGTTGGGATCTCTCCAGCCCTAGTGCTGAGAAGGAGCCAGGAACATCCTGCGGAGCAATGTCTATCCACGTTCATCTGTGAATCAGGCCCCCAACCACACCTCCCTCGGTCTAGCTAGAGACAAGTTTTTGGCCATCTCCTTATCTTCACAGAGCAAAGTCAACTGAAGGGGAGTGTCTGAACCAAGGTCACCGGGGTCTCTTGGTTATCAAACCTGTAGATATTTATAGGAGCAAGACAGAGAAATGAAACCGCAAGTTCAGTTTCAATGTAAGACATGGGCTACTTCCTGAAAAACCTATGAACTTTCTTAACTTAAAGCTTTCCCTTTCTCTCTCCTATCCACGCATCTCCCTGCCACCTAAGCAGATCACAGACAGTGCACTGGACCAGCAGCCACCCCCGGGTTTGGTGGCTCTCCTTTAAACCAGGACAGTCGCGCACGCTGGCTAATTTAGAGGTACCACCAGAAGGGGCAAGGGCTAGATGTACTTCCTCGGAGCCCGACACACTAGAGGTCTCAAAGCTTGCCTCGGAATCCACTCGATCACAAATGTGTGAGGAAGGCACTTGAAAAAACCCAACCACGGAAGAAAAGCCCTCTTTTCCAAAGGAGACACTGGGCAAACTCCATCCTAAAAGACTTTCCTTCTCTCTCCTCATTAAATGGCATTCGCACTATTATTTTTCAATAAATGGTACGCTGTGGCCCTAAGACGCGATTAAGATGAAGTCACCGGTTATACACACAGAGCCACCAACCCAGAACGAAAATGTTTGTAACCTGTGGTTATTTGTCCCCCAGGGGACAGAGATCACCCCACGTTTCTAGCAGACGAGCACGTCTCCCATGATAACTGAACCCACTTAAGAGACGAAATTAGTTCAGAAGATAAATACTGGAGGTTATAACTCTGTTCAAGCGGCTTGCAAAGTGTCGAAGGGGTGACAGAATTAGTAAGACAACACGTACGACCAGGCAAAACGTATACCTCACCGGTCTGCCGGCACACCATTCCCTGTCCCGCCATAAGGGGTGTCCTGCTCCTTCCGATAACCTGGAAGCCATGAGTAAAGGGCACAAACAAGTGGCATCCTCTACTCTGCCTGGCAGTGAGCCTCGAACCCCCGTCTTTCCAGCCCGATGCCCCATCACCTCCCCTCCCTCTTGGCTGGTCACCCCTCAGCCCCCACGACTTGCCATCCGGCTAAAGGTACCCCTCTCACGCTCACCAAGGATCCCTTTCCCACCCCGGGCCTTCTCTTACTCTTACTCGGCCTCCTCTGGGACACATTTCAAACAGCTGGCTGCCTCTTGGTTTTCGGCTCCCCTCGCCTTTTCCCTCAGCCAGGGTGGTGGCGGTTCCTCTTATCTCCTCCAGCCACAGCCCCTCGGGGGCCACCTCACCCACACCCAACGCCCACACCAACGCCCACGGCCAAGCCCAGCACTTCCCCCCAAACGCCCCCAGGCATCTACAGCTCACACTCCAAAATGGAAACCCGGCCAACTGTTGCCCACACTCTTGCCCCCACTCCACCCCACAAGATATCCCAGCAGCACATTTGGGAGTCGCGTAAGACTCCTCAGCAAATGCAGAAGGAAATAGCAGATAAAATTAAATTTCCTTATAACCTGCGGCCCATTGACAGTTGAGGCCGGCAGAGTTCTCCAGGAACTCCCTGCGGTCTTAAAGATGTTAACACTTTGCTGGAGGGAAAAACAACCCTAGCTTGACCATAGCTAGGCCTCCAGGCTCCGGTGCGCCTTTTTGCCCTGAAGATGTCTCAGGAAATCTTTCTTGGCCGTCAGCTCCGGACCCCACCACCGCTCCAAAATCCCATCAGCTGTACCGACTGCTTCAGGACTGAGTCTGGCTGATGACCCTCAGTGTCCCCAGAGCCTGGCCCCGTGGATCTCAGTGGCCTCCTCGGCAACCTCCAGCCTCAACCCTACGAAGCCACCCTCCCCTGAACTGGAGAAGCACTGGATGAGGCATCTGTGCATAGCACCTCAAGACTCACAGCCCTTTGAAAAGCTAAATCTTTAAACCCATTTTACAGACGGAACTGGAGCTCACAGCGGTTATGAATGTGTTCTAAGTCACAGGGTTTGAAGCCACTGGCTACGCTTACAAGGCCTTCCATGAATCGAGGGGCCCCTGCTTTCCTTTTTGGCTTGTGTTCTCAGCCTCCTCCTCCCTCTTGCATAGGGCGCAGCCGGAAGGGATCCTCTGCCTTCCTCTAGCCTTGGAAAACCCCATCCTAGCTCCTCTTGCCTCTGATTCATCCGGGGAGGGGGGGCCTCTGCCCAGATCTCCCCTGCTGTGGGAAAGCCCCGAATCCCTGCCCCCACTGGCATTCAGGCTCCTCCTCCAATACTTCCACTGCACCTGAGCCCACCTCCCTTGGGTCGAGGACAGAAGAGGCCACTAGCTGTCCTGTTCACCATGGTACCTCCGGCACCGACCACCGAGCCTGGTGCACAGTCAAAATGGGGCCCCACAGCCAAAAATGGATGAGTCATGTCATCTACAGGAAATCTGCATATGGCTCTCCCTTGAGCACAATTCCATAGGATAAGGGTTAGTGGGCTCAGCCCGCCCCTTCCCAGGACAGGCTCCCTTCAGCCCTTTGCTCCAGTAAGGCCATAGGAATGACAAGGTGCTTACAGCTTCTGAGAAGTTCTCGGTGCGCCTTCCCCAAGGCTCTCGCAGGTATTGTCCGGAATTTGTTTTCAGGCTGCTGTCCTTCACATGCATGCTCCAAGTACACCCCCTCCCCGCACTGTAGCAACTATTTTATGTCTTTATTTTCACAGCACAAAGCTTGGAGATGTTATTGGTTTAATAAGTATTTGAATAAAGAATAGAGTCCGTAACTTCTTTAACTTTGTAAACTTCCAGGTCCATTAGCACACAGCAGATGCTAAATATATACCAGCAGTATAAACTAACCTCTAATAGTTAAAACACACACACACACACACACACACGTAGTAGCATTATTTAAAAAACAAAAACCAAAAAACAGAATTGGGGCACCTGCGTGGCTCTGTCCTTTGAGAATCTGACTTCAGCTCAGGTCATGATATCACAGTTCCTGAGTTCGAACCCTGCCTCTGGCTCTGCCCTTAGCCCAGAGCCAGCTTCAGATTCTCTGTCCCTTTCTCTGCTCCCTCCACCCCACTCACACTCGCCCTCTCTCAAAAATAAACAAACGTTAAAAAAAAAAAAAACTAAAAAAAAAAACAAAAAAACCAACCAGAATTTACACTTTTTATTTGAATAGGCTTAAGATCTTGTCCTATGGCAAGCACATCCTTTGAAGGCATGTTTGATTTTCTTTTCAAGTTATTCAAGTTAACAACAAGGAGTAACAATTTGGTTTTTTGAGGAACCGGGGCAAAAACAACCAAATGATACACAGTACACAAAAGCATAAGCATAGGAGCGCCTGGGTGGCTCAGTCGGTTGAGCATCCAACTTCGCTCAGGTCATGATCTCGCAGTTCTTGAGTTCCAGCCCCGCGTCGGGCTCTGTGCCGACAGCTCAGAGCCTGGAGCCTGCTTCGGATTCTGTGTCTCCCTCTCTCTCTGCCCCTTCCCCGCTCATGCTCTGTCTCTGTCTCTCAAAAATGAATAAACGTAAAAAAAAAAAAGTACTTAAACAGATAGTAAATAGATTCCCCAAGCAATTTACTCCCCTTTAAAAAACTAAATCGTAAATCCAATTCAGATCTCGAGGTCAGAGCTGAAAGGAGATGTAGAACCCCAGTGATGGCCTTTTTTAAGGATTAAAAAAGAAACGAAACAAAACACCTCTGACCCCGCCCGCCAGAGCTAGTAGACGAAACCACAACCTCAGGGTGAGGGCGGACAGCGCCCCCGCCCCTCCCAGCACTAAACCACGCGGCTTCCCGCCTGCACACCCCGCGAGCGGTAACTCCGGCGGCCCCGCCTCCGTCTCCACCAATGGAGGCCCGGCGGCACGACCACTGCAGCCAATCCAGACGCAGGGGGCGTGGCCCCGCGGCCAGGCCTGTCGCTCTAGTTCCCCGCCGGCCGGGAAGCGGAGACCCAGACCGTGACTCCCGCCCGAGCCGCGGGCGCAGTGGACCCACGTCGCTCCAGCATCCACCTCTTCTCAGGCTTGTTGCTACCAGCGGTCTTTGCGACGGTCCAAATACCTGCCCGAGCGCCCTCCCCACCACGGTCACTCTGGGAATCGAACTCAAAAGCAACGTCCGGTAGCGCTCTCACGTCGTTCAGTGTCGCGCGGGCACGCTCGCCGACACCCTCAAGACCCCGGCAATTCCTTGCCCACTCTACCCAGACATCAAACATCAGCGAGACCTTCGCCAGCCGGTCCTAAGGAGGGCTGCAACTGCTCTCCTCCCTCGCCCCACCCTTTTCAATTCCCTTAGTCAATCCATCCCTCCTGCGCCACGTCCCCAACCTGTTCTGCGCGCATCTGGAGAGCGGAAAAGGCTCCCAGAGGGCCGCTGACCCTTGGCAACCTCCAGAATATCCCCCCCCCCCTCCCCGCCACGAGCCAGCGGTCCCGGAGCGGCCAACCCCTGCCTCCACTCCCCGCAGTTTACCATAAGCGTCTCCACCCTGTCTCCGACATCTTGAGGCTGCAGGAGCGCCGGGCGTGACTTCTGAATCATTGGAGACGAGGCCGGCAAGTGAGCCGGGCTCAGTGTGCCGTCAGTGGGAGCTCGGGCCAGCGCTGGCGACCCCGGGGGGCGAGGGTGACGCGGCCGCAGTGGTGGGGCGCCACGCGGTCAGGCGGCGGCTCTGCCGTCCGCGCCCGTCGGGGGCCGGGCCCGCGCTCCCACCGCCCCTGCGTGGCTAGGCGCGCCGCCCCGGGAACTTCTCGCCGCTCTTCACTCGCTCCGCAGAGGCCGTGGCTCTGCTCTCCCGCCCATCCCGCCCTGTAACACGCTTCTGGACCCCAGAACAGGCAGGATGCACCGGGACGGGGGTGGAGAAAGCCGGAGGAACTGCACGGAACCGTGGGATTTCGCTTCCGGGGTTGGACGCCGCGGGTCTGGAGCGGGTGAACGGGTTCGCTTTAGTGCCACCTAACGGAGACGTCCAGAACTGCAGGGCCCGCGGTTTCCCTGAGCTTGAAGGCGCGTCTGCGCGGAGGCCTCCCTCCAGCTGCAAGATTTGAGCTGAGCTCCTTTCCAGTAGAGACTTGCCCTGCCCCGTAAGGTAGCCTGTAGCCTTCCGTGCCTATTGAACTTCAAGTGTGGTTCGTGTGCTTGTGGACCAGCATTTTACATTGTATTTAATTTTAGTTAATTTGTATTAAAAAACGGAAGCACTGTGGAATAACTTTCCGTTAAACACTTTATTGTCTTGGCAGACGCGCGTTTCCTCTTGAACGCTGGGAATGTAGCCTAGGAATTGACCAGTCTTGTTAAGAAATCCGTGCACCACATTTCAAGACTTACAGCAATATGGTAAAATAACTTATTAATAATCGTTATATTATTACGTTATAATAATTATATTATTATTATATTAACCTGATATTTTGGATATATCAGGTTAGGCATATTATTAACATTAATTTTGCATGCTGCTTCCATCTTTTTTTTTTTTTAACATTTATTCATTTTTTGATAGAGACAGAGTGTGAGCAGGGGAGAGACAGAGAGAGAGGGAGACACAGAATCTGAGGCAGGTTCCAGGCTCTGAGCTGTCAGTACAGAGCCCGTCACGGGGCTAGAACTCATAGACTGTGAGATCGTGACCTGAGCGAAGTCGGACACCCAACCGACTGAGCCGCCCAGGCTCCCCAACTTTTTCTGTTTTTTAATATGGCTACTAGAGTTTCAAATTACACGTGTAGCTCACACTACATTTCTTTTGGACCACGCTGGTCTGGATGTTTCAGATCATGGTTTATCTCTCATCTGGACTGTGGGAATGACCTTTATGGTCTCCCACCTTCCCATCATTCCTTGTCTGGGAGAGACCTGGAAAAGTATTGCTACTGGGATCCTGACACTCCTGTTGAAAACAGCAGGCACACAACTTCAATGTACCTGGTTACCTGCAGAATAACTTTTCATGACAGTTTTTGCTACTTTCTAGCATTCATTCTCCACTGGGGGGAAATGTAGGTCAGGAAAGATACTTATAATTTAGGGAGCAAGATGCTGTTATTTGAAGGCTTCATTTCTGTGTTATTAAGGCACAAGGAACAGCAAGAAAGTAGTTCTTTATCTCCAGAAGGGATTAAGCAAAGCATAAACATTAAAAAATTACATATACAGGGGCACCTGGCTGGCTCAGTCTGACTTCGGCTCAGGTCATGATCTCACAGCTCATGAATTTGAGCTGCATTGCTCTGTGCTGACAGCTCAGAGCCTGGAGCCTGCTTCCAATTCTCCCTCTCTCTCTGCCCCTCTGCCACTCATACCCTCTCTCTCCAAAACGAATAAGTGTTTTAAAAAACGTAGAAATACATATACAAATCTGGCTGGTGATTGTTAAAAACTTTCCTATCCCTCGTTCTAAGGGCAAGGCTCATTTTCTTTGTGCAGTGTCAATATCTAAGCTAAAACTTTTATTTTTAAGTAGAAACTTAAAAAAATTTTTTTAATGTTTATTTATTTTTGAGAGAGAGACAGAGCCAGAGCATGAGCAGGGGAGGGGCAGAGAGAAGGAGGCACAGAATCTAAAGCAGGTTCCAGGCTCTGAGCTGTCAGCACAGAGCCCAACGCGGGGCTTGAACCCAGGAACTGTGAGATCATGACCTGAGATCATGACCTGTGAGATCATCATGAAGTCAGACTCCTCACTGACCGAGCCACCGAGGCGCCCTGAAACTTTTATTTTTCACTAGAATTCACACCCAGTGCAGAGCCCAGCGTGGGACTTGAACTCGCAACCGTGAGATCAAGACTTGAGCTGAGATCAAAAGTCAGACGCTCAGCTACCTGGGGCACCCAGGTGCCCCTGAAACTTCTTTTTAAAGCAACAGCTACATTTTCCCCCAGAGGGCAAGGGTTTCTACTTTTGAGAAACAGAGTGGATTGGCGTATTTCAGAGACTGTTCTTGGCCACTCTGGGAATGGGGGCCCAGAGTGAAAGCCCCCTGCCCGCTGGCCGCCCTACCACCAGCAGGTATGTGGGCTTGGTTCCGGGCTCAGAAGAAGTGGGCTGGCTTTCAAGCGTGGTACGTGCCTTCCAGCTTTTCCTCCTCGGTATCTGTTCCCGCCACACTCCCAACCCTGGAACCCAGAGTCCTGCCCCGCCCCCCAGCCCCTCCAAACCCCCTCCCATGTTCTTGGAGATTGGGAAATGTATGAGATAATGTGCAAGAAGCATTACCCATTAGAAGATGAGGAGGGTTTGGGAGCAATACTTAATGGCAGAACTTGGAGCAGTGAGTTAAAAAATAGAAGAAAAATATATGGTGAAAACATGGTGTGTGACCTGAGTTCAAGACAAGGTCATTGGGGCGCCTGGGTGGCTCAGGTGTTTGGGCGTCCGACTCTTGATTTCGGCTCAGGTCATGATCCCAGGGTCTTGAGATCAAGCCCCGCGTCGGTCTCTGCGCTAGGTGTGGATTCTGCTTAAGATTCTCTCTCTTTCTCCCTCGGCCCCTCTCCCCAGCTCGTGCTCTCCCTCTCAAAAAATAAAAAAATAAAAAAATTCCAAAAACAAGGCCATTAACATCAGGCATAGCTTTCCTGACTTGTTTGCAGTCGGCGGAAGGTGATTTTTGCTTCTATGACCTAACATCCCCCAGTTACACAGTAAGTCTCCCAAACCCCATCTGGCCCCTTTTGCTGAGTTGGGTGTTAAGATTTCATGATGCTTGGGGCACCTGGGTGGCTCAGTCGGTTGAGCGGCCGACTTCGGCTCGGGTCATGATCTCACGGTCCGTGAGTTCGAGCCCCGCGTCGGGCTCTGGGCTGACGGCTCGGAGCCTGGAGCCTGCTTCGGATTCTGTGTCTCCCTCCGTCTCTGCTCCTCCCCTGCTCATGCTCTGTGTCTCTCTGTCTCAGAAATAAATAAAAACACTTTTTAAAAAAAATTTAAAAAAAGAAAAAGATTTCATGATGTTTTCCCATCCCGGCGACTGTAGTCACTCTCTATCCAGGTTACATAACACCCTCTTAAAGTTTTATTCACAAGTTTTATTGACATCTGGAGTTTCCACCATCCAAGAAGGAAAAGGCTGGCAACCTGGCATAAGCATGCGAAACTGGGTGGGAGAGGCAGAATCTGCTCCCAAGGCAGCTTTGGTTCCCTGCCTTCCAGGGCCTTCCAGGGCCATGCACCTGTGTCACTTCCTTGGGGACAGGGTCGCTGGAAGGGTGAAGAGTCCACAGTGAGTTGTCCCCCATGCTTCCGGGAAAACCAGCCCAGGGAGACTTTTCCTGTCTGCCTGGAGCCAGAGCTGTTCCTGGAAATGTCTAGATTCCCTTTACTGTCGTCAAGGCAACCGGCCCCCTTTTGCCCTTGGAAGCCGGGAGGGGGTCAAGAGGGGAGACATGATGCACGTGGCAGGCCACAGTCCCCTCCCCTCTGATGTGGAAAATATTGAGGTTAGGAGCCCACAGTCAAGAAAGAATTCTTTTTTTTTTTTTTAAATAAATTTCTTTAAATTCAAGTTAGTTCACATACAGTGTGTTACTGGTTTCAGGAGTAGAATTTAGTGATTCATCTCTGACTTACAACACGGAGCGCTCATCCCAGCAAGTGCCCCCCCCCCCACCCCCCTCCCCCGATCTGGGGCTCCCCCCCCACCCCCCTCCCCTCCAGCAGCCCTCAGTTTGTTCTCTGTATCTAAGAGTCTCTTAGGGTTTGTCTCCCTCTCCGTTTTTTATCGTATCTTTCCTTCCCTTTCCCTATGTTGTGTGTCTTCAATTCCACATACTTCTTGAGACGCCTTCGGTGAGAAAAGATGGTTTTACTAAAGCCCGGGGACAGGACTGGTGGGCAGAAAGAGCGGCGCTGGGATCACGAAGAAGAGTTGACTATAGACTTGAGAGTTGGGGGACGCACAGACAAGGGGAAGTTTCCAGACAGGCTTTTCATAAGCTACAGAAGACCTAGGGGGTCCTGGAGGCCCAGTCAGCCTCGAGCCAAGGCTGTTCTTCCCCCTCGCAAAGCATTACCAGTCAAACAGTGAGGGGTTCCTGGAGAGACATGCCTGCCTCGGCTGTTTGCCAGTGGGTTGCAGGTTATAAGGAAATGTAATGACATCTCCGTGTTTTTGCCTTTGTTCTTCACATCCCCTTCCATCTTCTTGAGCCTCTTTACAGCCAGTGGCCTCCCAGAGAGGTGAACGGGTGTTACGATGGTTCCATGGCATAGCCCGTGGAGGCTCCTCTCCATTTGAACGTCCCCTCCCATCCCAAACAGTCTGAAAGAACATTCTTCAGAATCTCCAAGGGCCCGGGGCTGCCCTCAGCAGTGGCGGAAATCCTCCTCTGTGCCTGGTCTTGAAGATGGGCACAAACCCACAGGGGGAGAAAAAGATTCTAATGGCTTTCCCAGGAGCTCTGGCAAAGAGAATGGTCCTGTTGCTGTCTCGGGCTTCGCCAAGAGAGAAATACCTTTCTTCCTCCCGTGCCAGTGATAAAATTATGAACTGGGGTTTGTGAGCAAATGGCTATGAAAGAATTCTTAAAAAGAACTTTTTTAATGTTTATTTATTTCTGAGACAGAGAGACGCAGAGCATGAGCGGGACAGGGGCGGAAAGAGAGGGGGACACAGAATCCGAAGCGGGCTCCAGGCTCCGAGCTGTCAGCACAGAGCCCGACGCGGGGCTCGAACTCACGGACCGTGAGATCATGACCCGAGCCGAAGTCGGACGCTCAACCGACTGAGCCACCCAGGCGCCCCAAGAAAGAATTCTTGAGACGTCGTTGGTGCAAAAAGGTGATTTTATTTAGGCCCGGAGACAGGACCCGTGGGCAGAAAGAGCGGTGCTGGGGTTGTGAGGAGTGACTGATTACATGCTTGTAAGTCTGTGGAGGGCA